GAAGAATTGCTTGCCGATATATGACCTGCAGTGATCGACGTTCTGATTCAATAACTTGCCATAAGCCATTATTCTCAACGAAATCGCGCAGAGACGTTTGCAAAGTTGTCGAGGGGGGGGGGGCGAAACAAGAGCGATTTTAAATGAATTGCTCTCCATGCAGTGCAATAGGACTTAGGTTTAATTTTTCGAAAGTTGTGGAGCCGCCCCCGGTGTCCGGCCTGGCCAACTCTCTCAAGAACCGACAGCTAACGGAGCACTGAAGTTTCACTACGACGATTTCCGCCAAAGTTATGAAGAAAGGGCAAGTGCAAGAAGTACAAAACTTCTCTTGGTAATCAAAACTTAGGTTTGGCAAATTCCAAACCCTAAGTCACTACAACTGTGGATATAAATAAGCTGGTTATTGACGGCCAAGCTCTGGCCAATCTGAGGTTCAGACCTATCATCAAGTTCATGAGGCAGCTGCGGTTGGGCGGCTCACGGGCTCCACTGCATAGGCTCAGACAGGTACTCTACAAAATGTCGTCTGTGTTCTTAGGTTCAGATCTATCGATAGGTATGTGCATGCTTCTGATTCGATTGATAACTGTAAACGGGCGCTGGAAGTGAAAGATTCGCTTGATATACGAAAGGTGCATTGCAAGAAAGCATATTATTTCAGAAATACACTTTCATTTTATCTTGAGCGTTTTTGGAATGGGCCGGATGAATTCGTCATCAAACTGGTAAGGGATTTCGTTTGAAGACCACCGATATTTAATAATATGATGGTCTTCAAACGAATTCGCTGGCAAATTCGATGACTGGATTGGGCGGCGTAGGATCTGCTGGTCATCTGACTATGGGTTGAGCAATACGTTAGTTTTGACCTAGTTTGAGCTTCATTCGTTAAGTAGGAACAAGACGATGCTTCTTTTGAGCATCGTCACTAAACAAGCCGCCCTCGTTTTGACATTGTTTTTCGTTATTATTGTTACTAGGTACTTTGTTATCATACACAGCATTAACGAGGACCTGCTTCCAAAACAAGGCAGAAACGCTCCAGCTATTTTTGGGACGTGGTAAAAACTAACCGACACCTGGTAACTGTCATCTGACGAACACAAAACAAGCCAGGGGCTCGCAGCGTGTGTCAAAAGTAGGATGCAAAACTAGTCTGTACCCCCGACATTTAGCGTTGACCTATTTATTACGGAATCAATTTTACAACTCGGCAACGTTTCAAAGCCTCAGTAAAGTGTTTAGGTAGGTAATTTAGGGGCTTTTGGTAGAAAAAACATGATAGGTACCTACGAGTAGTAAAGTAATCTTGGTACCTACTACCTAATCAATGATGTTTTCGATAGACTGCTGAAATTTTGACGTTGGTCACCAGCGTGAAATTTTGGAGATCAAACGGATCAAATAGGTGCCCACTGCCCAATATTCCGACGTGAAAGAAAAGGGCTACCAAACACGAACACTTCATCTGAGCAGATTGCGATACGGCATAGTTAGGTGCCTATTTACCTAAAAGTGACCTTACGAATGTAGCATATCACCGGGTGTCAGTATTCGGAACAATTCATTTTTTCGAAGATTATCTGTGATAGGTAATAGGTATCCCAGTCGCATGCTTTCAGTAAGTAACGCAGTATGAGTCTTTGCATCGTGATTCACGGGTCTTGATTCGAGCAATTTTATTGTTGTTTGTTTTGTTGGGTTGGGCCCTTTCGGTCTGACCAGACCATTTCATGGGGCCGGAAGGATGATAGGAATTAGGTATATGTAGGTAGTACATTGATCTGGTCGAGCACCCTGGTGAGTCGCCGGGGCTGAACCCGTCCAGAGGGAGAACAGGCCGACCAGCCCCCCCCCCCCCAAGCACTCACCGCACCAGGCTACGGGCGTGCTATTACGGGCAATCCCGCATGGGATGAAGTTGCCCGTCCAGCCCGGAGCAGGAGAAAGAGGCGTGGAGGAGAAGGAATTGTATGTCCCGTCTCCGACTCTCCCGAGATGGAAGACATGGGGAACGAAGGTCGATCAATAACCGAGTATAACCTTTAGGTAAGAAGTGCGATTAGAGTGACTACCGTACCGATAATGCTAACCAGGGCATTGGCAGCCGAGAAGAAGTGAACACAGCCGAAAACGCAGTGTCTGCCTGCCGCTGCCGCCAAAGAAAACTGGATATATAGTGGCGACATCTACTTCAAAATTCTTATCAGTGAGCGACGAGCGTCACCTACGTTAGATCAGACCAGTTCTGAGACATTACCTTACCTAGTCTAGTACCTACCTATTAGGCAATTGTTAGAGAATTTATCACTTTGTGCTCATTGATGCAAACTGACTAGCCACATTCTCCTAATTTATTTATTCAATAATTCGAGTTCTTGATTCCACCAGAGCAGGGGTGTCGTTTTCCGAAAATGATTGGTAGGGCCCAAAGGCGGCGGCCGGCCATATGTGACGGGGCTTAAAAGGTAGGGTACCCCCAAATCTGCCTTTCTCATCGGATTTCGGCCACTTATTTTTTCGCCCTGGTCATTGACAAGACAAACCAAAATCTAAAAAAAAAAACATTTTGGAAGTCTAGGTCCTCACCGAGCTCCATGCACAAAACGTGCAGTTAAATAGGCAGTTATAATAGTGTCGGAGGAATGCACGCCATTCTGAAAGAGGCCCACGGCACGGCTGTGCTGCAAGGGGCCAGGAACGGTTTTGATGGACCGCGCCAATTGCAATTTGCAGGGTTCGACAACTAACAAGGTCTCGAAACACCACGATAGTTAGAAAGGCCTGCTTGCCAAAATAAAAGGATGACAGTACGAGCCGGCATTCAGAAAGTTACATGCCCGATCATGAAGAAGTAGAGAGATACATCATCGACTTATTAGACCAACAAGTTCATTTATTCAAATAACCACCGCTAAGACAAACACATTTCGCGCAGCGCTTCGGGAGAGCCCTCAAAGTCTCCATAATCAAGTGGGTTTCGGACCCATCCCACGTCCAAGACGGCTGCTTTAGTCTCCCTGCAGTCAGCGAAGTTGCCACTGCTAATTTCCTTATGTTGGGGAAGAGGTGGCAACCAGAGGGTGCAGGGTTCGGAAAAAAGTGGATGCGACAACAACTCGAAGCCACATTTCATCGCTTCACTGATCGTCACCCCGCGCATGTACGCAAGTGCGTGGACGTGGATCAGGTGCACACTTAATCAGCTTCCCTATAGCCTCTCCTCGATGTCTATCGAATGGACGCACATCATCAATTGTGCGCCCCTGTTTTAGAAAGTTGACAAGCAGAGCCCCGTCGGCATTCCAAAATGCAACCACTATCACCTTGCCGACTAACTTCAACTCGAAACACTCATTTGGTGGCCGTTACTCGGTGTGCTTCCACTTGCGCAACTCGGCACGGTGTCCCTTAGTGACACCCACGTGACACCCACAATTCCTTTACGGTGACAAGTCAATGACATCTTCTAGATATTCGAAAATGTTTATATTACTTGTATACCGCTGACGAAGTGACAATAATAGTCACGAAACTGTCCGGAAAAGCCGAGTACTTTAATTCTAGATATTCGATAAAGGGGCCAAAAACACCGCGCTAAGCCTCCTTTCGAGCTTGCCTTTTCTCTGCAGAGTCCACAAACGGGGGATACATCTTGCAGAGATCTTAAACATAACATGATAGATTCCAGTGGCGTAGCCAAGTGAGGGGGGGCGGGCACAGGGGGCACGTGCCCCTCCCATCGGGTCCAGGGGGCCCTTCGGGTCCCTGCGGCGCCAATCGGCCGCTGAGGGTCCACGCTGGCCATATTTCGTCTCAAAGGGACCCCACAGGGCTCGTCAGAGCTCAGCAGCTCTAAGGGTCCCACGCATATCTGTGATGGCCATAAACCAGTGTATCTGAGGACCCCGAAACGGCGCTTAAGAGAGCCCTCACCGGCGACTGTGCAGGTCCCACACCGGCGCCTCTGAAAGCCCCACACATGTGCATCTGACTAACACCCACCGGTGACTTTTGCGTGGCCCACACCGGCTATTCTGAGGATCCCACCAGAGTCTGAGAGTACCGTGCCGTTCTCTAAGGACCCCACTGAACTTCTGAAGGTGCTGCCGGCCTCTGAAGACCCTTTGCCGGTCTGAGGAGTGAGGACCCCTTGCCGTTCCCTAAGAACCCCCTGCCGGCTTGCGAAGGGTTCGCGACAGCAGCTCCTACGGCCCAGCAGGCTACACACGTCTGTGACGACTGTACAAATATGCTTGTTTGCTTATCTGTTTATTTTGATTTTTTTGCCAACTGATAAGTGACAAAAGATTGGTAGGGCTCAGCGAACATTGGTAGGGCCCAAATAAACATTGGTAGGGCTCGGGCCCTACCAGGCCTATACAAAACGACGCCCCTGCACCAGACAGGGGTGGAGAATTAGGGGTTTTGGGGGTGCTCAAGCACCCCCTGAAATTCAAAAGAGTCACCGTGCAATAGTGCTCCAGCGGTGCTTAACTTACGTCTGAGACACAAACTGCTTTGCGTAAGCCGCGAGGTGAGTGATGCTGCTTGGAAAACGTACCTTTACGTGCTTATCTACGCAAGAATTCGAAGCTTCCATTCGCCAGATGCTAGAAAAGCACCCCCTGGGATTATGACAATTCTCCGCCCCTGGCACCAGAGTCAAATAAGTCTTGAGTTGTTGACTACTTTGTATTGCTAATTGCTATATCTCAGTCATAACTCATCATGATCAATGCAATGTTTACACTATAATGGTATCACCACCCTGGTTGAATTTTGAATTTAAAGGCATGGTGATAAATCCATTTGATAGATTTATTCAGAATTCAAAAATTAATTCAACTTTATAACAAAGCGAAATTGCTGAAAGAACAACTTTGGAGTAGGGAGGTAAATTTTCTAAGACTTCAAATATGGCAGTAATTTGGTAGGAATTTCAGAAGATGTTAGTGACGCGTATAAGACATTTCGGAAAACTACGTCCTACGTCCCTTATAACATAGGTACACAAAATAACACAGTGTCAGTGTGATATACATAGACCAAACATAGACTTTCTGTGAAGAGCTTTCAGTCTTTTCAGTAATATTTTTTATTACTGTGTACTAGTTTGGTAGGTATGTACCTACTATCGGAATTGATTTCACAATTCTGCTGTTAAATTGAATACCATAAGAAGATAGAAGGGCAGACTACACGAGGTAAAGTAAAGCACATCATTTGGCTTTTGCCAGCTCAAGCTTACATCTAAAAAGCAAAAATATTTGTTGGTTTATTGCTCAACATTCACCGGTGCTATAACAACGGTTTTGAAAATTGAGGGAAATGCTTAATGAGGCTATATTGAATGCAGTATTAGCTTACAGTGTGGTTCTCTATGTATTCTCACCATCTGGGTGACGTGCAATTCCATTCCCAGTTTTTATAATTCTGATGCTTTGAACATTTGTGCTGTCAAATACATTCTTTTGCTGCTGAGAGGCTGCCTTAATGCTAGAATTTAAGAAGTAAAATCCCTCAATTTCATTGGTTAGAAAAAATATCTTTGTCTTTGACAGGAATCTCTTCATTTGAAACTGCTGTCCAGTTGTTGAATATATCTGCTATTCTGCTGTTTCAGATGATGCTGTGGCCTGTTGCTGTATGTTTACTGCTGCTGCTGCTACTGTTCCTGCTGTGCGACTGTGACCCAGTGCTGGCTGTGCTGTCGGCACTGGGCCGTGGTAGGCCGGCTCTGCGCGATCGCGTCATCTGGCTAACGGGAGCCTCCAGCGGGATCGGCGAGGCGCTGGCCGTGGAGCTGGCCGCCTGTGGCGCGCGGCTGGCACTCTCCGCCCGGCGGCCGGCCGAGCTAGAGCGCGTGCGCCGCAGGTGTCTGGAGGCGGGCGCTGCGGCCGACCAGGTGCTGGTGCTGCCACTGGACGTGACCGAGTTTGAGCAGCACCGGCCGGCGCTGGACCGGCTGCTGGCGCACTTTGGCCGGCTCGATGTGCTGGTAAACAACGCCGGCCGGAGCCAGCGGTGCGCCTGGGCCGACACGCGGCCGGCCGTCGACCGGCAGCTGTTCGAGCTGAACGTGTTCGCGCCGGTGGAGCTGACGCGCGTGGCGCTGCCGGAGCTGGTGTCGCGCCGCGGCGGCCAGGTGGTGGTCATGTCCTCCACGGCTGGCACCTGCCCGGCGCCCTGCTCCGGCTCCTACACCGGCTCCAAGCACGCGCTGCATGGCTTTTTCGGCGCGCTGCGCTCCGAGCTGTCGGCGGCGGGTCTGCGCGTGACGCTGCTGTGCCCGGGGCCGACGTTTTCGGACCTTCTGCGCAGCGCGTTTGTCGCCGAGCCGGGCCAAGTGTTTGGCGGCGAGATGTCCGCCTCCGACCGGCGCATGACCGCCGAGCGCTGCGCTCGGCTCTGCGCAGTGGCCATCGGCGCCCAGCTGGCCGAGGCCTGGATTGCCATCCAGCCTATTCTGCTCTTCCAGTACTTGAACCACTACACGCCGTGGCTCATCAACTTTGTGTTCCAGCTGACGGGCGCGCGTCTGGCCATGCAGCTGAGAGACAGTCGCAACTCGGTCCCAGTCGAGACCAAACAGAAATGAATACCGCAGAGATGAAGATCAATGACGGGAGGCCCGGTACGCTGTCCATTCATCGCTGTTTTTTTATACCCACCTTGTACTGGATTGGATATAAGGTTGAGGAATCTATAAGGGTAAGGATTTAGTGGGACTTGTTAGCACACATGTGTCGCCAATTCATGCCAATCGATAGTGTGTAATGTTGTATTTCCCAGTAAATAGTCTATATTTCAATATTTCGACCAGGGTACCAACATCGTAGCTATGGGCGGCTATCCACCTTACGTGGATAGGAAAACGTAGTTTTTCTGGCAGCCAGTTGTTTGCATTCGTCGCAATCAATGCCGTGTACGAGTTACAAGGTTATAAATGTTTTAATAGATATGAAAACAACGGCTAGAAGTGATAATATCTTAGGCATTTTCCGATGTCGCAGCTTTTTTCTTTTGGAAATTATCGAGCAATTTCCATCAAACCCAGACGTTTATCTGAAACACTGTTTGCCAGTCACCAAAATGTTGTTGTCCATAACCATTCTGCAATTGAACTGGAAATGGCTGTTCTGTGACCGGTTGATGAGCTTATTACCTCCCGCAATCGTAGCCGAGAAACTGTTGCTATTTTTACGTGGTGCTATAGGTGTAGCAAATGAAGCGCGTTTGTACAAGCCATCGATTACTATGTGACGGGGGATAAATATTTCGCAATATACGCGATAAAGAAAACAGCTGATGCGTCCTGCCACGTCTATGTAGTACAGTAGTAGTGTACAGTAGTAGTACAGTAGTAGTAGTAGTAGTAGTAGTAGTACTTTTAAGTTGAATTTGAGGTCACAGGTCGGGTCAAGGTCGGGTCAAACACCTGAAATCGGGCTTTCAGTAGCATGGACTTCAGGACTTCGCAATGGGCGCCTCTCGTCACAAACTCGTTTTCATGTAGGGGTCAGTCAAGCATAGGTCAGGGTCAAGGTCAGGTCAACCGGGTAGGCACATATCCCCGAAAATCAAAACTGATATTCGCAGTCTGTGACACATGTTTTATGGGTAATTTGGGCCGTAGAACACGATGGTGACATTCATTTTATCATATGTGTACGTGTTTGGCTAAAAAAGTTCAATTTAAGAAATGCATACAGTAGTACAGTACAGTAGTAGTAGTGTATACAGATGCTAAGTCTGTGTCGTGTTAGTTCCAAATCGAAACGAATTAGTTGCAAATCGTTTACGTTTCAATTATTTGAAATGAAGAGTCGTTGGCAGGAAGCAGATCGCCCCCCCCCCCTCGCATCAGGGTTTGTGCGTATTCCACTTTCCGAATGCTAATGAAGGAACATTTCGGAGATGTCGAAATAAATTTACCATATAATTCGCTGGACGCTGGTCGACGCATAAGAAGCCACCAGCCCACAGAGTCGTAGCTGTCCGTATAGTCCCCACTCGCCTCATGCTCAATGTGACATTGTTCAATGACGCACTAGATAGGAGTTCCATAAAGGTGTCCAAGCCTTCCCGACCCACCAGTCCTTCGAATAAGAACTCGATAGAGCATCGATAGAATACTTGGTTTATTTCCATACAAAATATCTGAACGACTAAAAACATAAAATATCGAGGCGCGTCTCACCCCGACCAGGCCTGGCGGCTGGATGGCCGCCAGGCGCTTCGCGGCACGCACAGGAGATGACAAAAGTGGCTATTGATCGGGAGCGGCAGCGCACGAGGCGCGTGCAGCTCGCCGCGGAAACAGACAGACACCGGAAGACGGCTGATTCCCGTTGTACATTGTCCAGCGTCCCGCCCACTGGAGGCGCGTCAGTCGTCGGTGGCACGCGGCACGGCGCGCGCCCTAAAACGGTCCCTATCAGTCCTCAGTCGGCACCCCAGTCAGCATCACAGTGTCTCGGAGACCAGTCTCGTGTCGGGCGACGAGCGCCCCGTGTGTAACGCGCGCGGCCGCTGCCGCCGCTCTCCTAGAACTGGAAGCCGCCGGCCGTGGCCGCGTCCGTGTCGACGCTGAGCTGGAAGCCGGCCGCGTCGGCGGTCGGCGCCGCCACCTGGGCGTCCTCCTCGTCGTCGTCGCCGAAGTACTTGCCGATTATGAAGACGGCCTTGTTGTAGATGGTCTCGTTCTCGTGCGTCTGCAGTGACTCGATGCGGTCCAGGCCGCCGCACTCCTCCACCTGGAGAGCCACGGCGCCCTCCTGGCCCACCTGCTCGGCGTACTGGGGGGCAGACAGACACAGACGGTTACAAGCAGCACGGCACGTCGGATAACCAGCGGAAAGACGGCAGACTACAGACAATATAGCTAGTGGATCTTGCTGTAGAAACAAAACAACATTATCGAGCAAAAATACGCTGTCGCAATAATAAGAACTAGCCCCACGGTAGCACAAAGCCCTCTCACGAACAATTCCTTGGGCCGCTGTCACCAGCCCACAACGCCCAACTTCCAACTGAGAGTGAGCCCCGCCAGGAGCCCGTCGGGCCAATATCCCTCGCGTCCACTCACCCGCAGCACGTTTGACAGCGCGTCCAGGATGACGGTGATGAGTTTGGCGTCCTCGGCGGCCAGCAGGTCACAGAGCGGCTTAATGACGCCCAGTCGGCAGAGCTCGGCCACCTGCTCCTGAGAGCCGCCCGACGTCAGGTTCAGGATCACCCAGACGGCCTCCCGCTGCGACCGGTAGTCACCCTGTAACACGAGGAGGAGAGATGGGTCAGACACAGTACTGATTCAATGGTGAGCGATAGTCGCCGTAGACTCACAAATGGACAAACAGACCAGAAACGGAGTGAGCGGGTCTAACTTTACACGGCGACAGCACCGCTCAGAACGGCTTTTTATCTTGGCATCTTCACAAGACCTGCAGAGCGATGAACAATATTAACCTTTCGTCAGTTGATTGGCTACCAAAGACATTCGAAGGTCACAGAGACGCCAAACTGGCGTACCGTGCCGCGCCACACGCCGGACTCCCCAAACTAGGTCATCACGCGACTCACGCACACAAACATCGGCAGCCTTCAAAACACCCACTCCCCAACCCCACACCACCGGCTAATTAACGGTTCCACGACCCCGCGCCGCCTACCGTACCTTCTGAAGCACCTCCAGGACGGGCCCGAGGAGGCCGGCGTCGATCACCGCCTGGATCTGCTGCAGGTTGCCGGCCGTCACGTTGCTGATGGTCCAGGCGGCCTCCTTGACCACGTTGGCCTTGCTGTGAGCCAGCAGGCGCGGAAAGTAGCGCATGGCGCCCGCCTTGACCACGGTGTCCGTCTGCGCGTCACTGCCGGTCACGATGTTACCGAGCGTACGCAGCGCCGGAGAGATGATAGCGGCCTCCTGGGGACAGAGACGGGATAAGCTTCACAATGGGAGATTAGTCGTCACAATAATAGCAGATTTTTCAGAATCACAGAATCCGTGAAACACATCACACGATGGTTTTCTACCATATTCATAGTTAGAACCAGGGCTGCGGAGTCGGAGTCGGAGTCGGTCGGAGTCGACAGTTGTGACCGGAGTCGGAGTCGGAGTCGGAGTCGATTTTAGAAACCCAAGCCGGAGTCGGAGTCGGAGTCACCGAAAATCTGTCGACTCCGCAGCCCTGCTAGGTCTGCGGAGTCGGAGTCGGGAGTTGGAGTCGGTCGGAGTCGACAATTCTGCCCGGAGTCGGAGTCGGAGTCGGAGCTGGTTTTTGAAAGCCGGAGTCGGAGTCGGAGTCGCCGAAAATCCATCGACTCCGCAGCCCTGTAGAACTATTTTTCAGGGTAGAGAACATTAAAAAGCAGATCGGCCATGCCAAGCAGCATCCGTACGGTTATCACGAGCCTTTGAACTCCGGTTGCTAAGTCCAGTAACTGCGTGCGTGACACAAGTACATAACACGACAGTTGGAGCTGATCAGAAATATAAATAAACAGTATTACCTTCGACCATGAGTGACCACGAGCCCACCGTCGGCAACGCTTAGCAACCCAAAAGTTTATGTCAAGCGATCCCTCCCCCCACACCCATCCCACCTACTCAAAAGGCAGCAATCCCGTCCGTACCTCCGACCCGAGCAGCTCGACGAGGCGCGGCACCACGCCGGCCTCGATGACGTGCTCGATCTTGTCGTTGGATCCGTCGGTGAGGTAAGAGAGCGCCCAGCACGCGTCCGTCACCACCTCAGTGTCCGTGTGGTGGATCAGGTGCGCCAGCGCCGGCAGACACTGGCGCACCGCGTCGAACGGCGGCGGCGGGTTCTTGTTGCGACACAGGTTGCTTATGGTCCACGTCACGTTGCGCAGAAAGTGGGCGTTGGTGTCGGGCCGCACGAGCGCCAGCAGCGGCGCCACGATGCCGCACGAGATGGTGTAGTCGCGCAGCTCGGGCCCGTCGCCGGCGATGTTGCCCAGCGCCCAGACAGCCTGTTCGGCCACGTGCTGCTCGGTGCTCGACAGCAGGGTGATCAGGTGCGGCACGGCGCCCTGGTTGGCCACAAACTGTCCGAAACACATAGACGGGAGCGGGGCGTCAGTCAGAGACAGACAGACAGAGACAGGACGGGAAGAACAGGCGCACTGCATGTCCTCTAAACATCTTCACATGGCTATTTCTGAGTCTAATGAGTGATCATTGAAGATTCATAATACAGCAACATCAGCTGAACACATTCACGAATACAACTGTTTATAGTCCATAAGACATTAATTATCAAAAGAAAACCGCAACTTTATATTAAGAGCGCGTCTCAGGATCACTGCTTACATAATATATAAATAAAACATTTCGCGCATTAATCGACGCAAAATAAAGTACAGACCAGTCGCTTGCGAGGCCCACCCATTAGCTGATAACGCCGAAAGATAGACCCTCCCCGGCCCGGCCGTCCGTCTACCTTTGTCTGCTCGGAGGTGCCCGAGGCAATATTGGTGAGCGCCCAGGCGGCCTCGAACTGCAGCTGCGGCTCGTCGGCGTGCGTCAGGAAGCGGATACAGTGCGGCACGATGCCCGCCTGAATCATAGTGTCGATCGGCGGGTTACGCTCGCGACTCAGAATCTTCCTCGCGGCCTGCACGGCCGTCAGCTGCATCGACTTGTCCGAGCCGACAATACCTGGGGACAGAAGCGCAATTAGACGGTCCATCGGGACAAGCAAACTGTGCATCGATTTCTTATTTGGATGTTTAGGGGAACACTCAGACCGGAAAAAAACCCTAAATGGAAAGTGAAAGTTCAACAATCGCCTATCACTGAATAAATATAAAACTGTTAAAAAAAAGAAAGGAGCATAACAGGTTTAGGGTTAAGCTGACAATCATGGGCAAGGTCATATTATTGCTTTGTAGCTATGTTTCCATCGAACATGAAACTGTGTGTCACGGTGATGCGTATTCGTTACGGGGTACCATCCGCTGTTTGCGACAGTCCCCGTACCCGCGTCTCACCTGCCACGATCTCCTCCATGGTGAGCGAGGGCTGTTTGGCGGTGCTCGGCTTATTGGTCGACTCCTGCAGCGGACTGGTGGCCGTGTCCTCCTCCGTCAGGCAGATGTTGCGCCGCTTCAGGATCTGGTCATCCTTCTTGGCCTTGCGCAGCTCCACGCTCGTCTCCTGACGCCGGCGGCGCAGCTCGTCAGAGTCCTTGCCGCGATTCTTGAAGTTGCGCATGCGCGCGGCGGAGCTGCGGTCGTCGGCGGACATTGTGGCACAGCTGGAACGGGATGAAAATACGTCGGTTAGTCAAAATGCTTCACTTGAAACATTCTTGGGGGATGTAAACTACTCTGTTTGCATTAATTAAATGCACAATACTTGATCCAACTAGAATAAGCTTTCACGGTTTGAGTTGGCCAGGAACAGCTCAAAAACGGGCCAGGAATAGGCTATTCAGCGGCAGTGAAGCATCACTAGTCTCCTCTCACACTTTTCCAACAACGTCATGAGATTCATATCATTTTTTGAAGCACTTCACTGCATATCCTTAACCCTGTTGTTGTTGTTGGTCTCCCCGGGTCGGCTCACGGCCGACCGTAGCCCAACGGCTCTTGGTGACTGAGGTAGCCGCGGCTCAAGGCCGCCACGGCCCCGCCGTCCCGAAGCTGCGTAGGGTCCGGTCTGATATTGCCGAGTAGGCGGAGCCTCGCGCCAGCCAAGCACGGGCACCTCAGCAGCACGTGCTCCGGCGTGTCTGGGCCCTCGCGACACACCAGGCAGCGCGCCGCCGGGCAGGCCAGATCACTGCACTGTGGGCAGTCGCGCTCGGGGCGGCGTCCGATTCTGTGAAGGTAGCTCTGCGAGCGGCTCCAGTGTCCCGCCCGCAGCTGGTGGACGTTGACCGCCTCGTCGCGAGACTCCAGGAGCACCGGCATCGGCATCCGGTCTCCCATGATGGTTTTGAAGAAGCTGTCTGGCCAGCTGCGACGCCATGCCTTGGTGGCGGAGCGGCCGACTGCCTTCACCATCGAGCGGACGTCCGTTGGGACGGCGTCTTGCGACAGGCTGGATGCCTCTTTAGCCAGCACGTCCTCTCTCTCATTGCCGGGTATTCCGCAGTGCGCTGGGATCCACTGCATGAAGACTCGGCGTTCTCCGTCCTCCGATCCTTAACCCTCGCCGGACCTATCAGTTTTCTACATACGCGCCCGGCCGAGGGGGATTGGTACGACCCCCCCCCCCTCGCCGTTTCGTCCCTGATGGAGCTAGAACGTCGCGGAAAAAACAGCGTGTGCGCCGTTAGACGCAGCGACTGGTACCCAATTGTAAGGGCTCAGATCAACCGATGAACTCTGAGGTCAGGTCAAGCGGCCTTAAAGGGACTATCCCACCTTCTAAAATGTTGTTAAAACCAGTTGAATTGTGCCTGACTTTATAGATTTGATGACCAGGAACACGGTTCTGGCATTTATTTTTCATTAAACATCTTAGGCTTCCCATATTCCAAACACAAACTTTCAAATATGTGACGTCACAGCCCAAAATTACCTCCTTCCCCAGGCCACATTACTGTCATAAAGCTGATTCTTTTTACTCTGTAGGCACCACAACAAAGTTCAGACCAAGTTTTAAGCGATTTTTCAACGACAAACCCATTTAAATCAGAATGACTAAACGAGGTGACGTCACACTAACGGTCGCTCCATGTTGAAGATAGGGCCTTGTACAAGGCCCATTTTCAAATGAAGGGAACGAATTTCTTCAACACCAAGAGGCCGCGGGGGTTGCAACCTAGATAGATAGTGGTTTCTGAACCTCGCCGCAAACTTGGCTATCTCAACTCAAACCCCATGTTAAAGGTGGGATAGTCCCTTTAAGTAGGGGTTCGGTTTTTGGTAAATAGCTTGTCGAAAAACGGCCGCAGACCCGCGATTTTGGCATCATCCTGTTCGCCTTGCTCAAGCGCGTCGAATGCTTTACTTTTTGTTTGGGTGAGGTCAACATGAGGTGTTGACATCGGGTCACGGTCAGGTCAGAGCCCCCAGGCCACGAAGCTGGTCGAAGGAGGTCATGTTGCATATCGTGTGATTCGGCAGATTTTCCTGAGGCCATTGGTGGCTTTCCCAACTCGCTAGGTCAATTTGATCAGGAGTTATTGACGAAAAATTCTTGACCCTAGTGATGTCATAAATGACGTCACACAAGGTTAACAATGCAAAAGTGAAGCATCGAAACTTGCAAGGAGTGCATGAAATCACGATTCCGTGCGGTTGAGATAGTACGAGATCGTCCCCGGCACCAAAATGGTAGCTTTCCATTTTTCACCATCGACTTTTAGGTAATGGTAAAGTCACGTTCAAATCTTTGTTCGCCCATAATATGCACGTGACTGACCTGACCTCATGTGACCTTTAGGAAGAACTGAGATATACAAGTTGTGAGACCTCTGGAGAATACTAGGCACTTGTAAGCTTCATCTCCCTGTGAAAGCTCCTCTGGCACTGAGGGCATTGCAAAGTTGCGACATCTGAGACCGTGCAGAGGTTCACTGATCACGTCATAGGTCAGTGACCCGACCTAACCCAAAAATGCGGTTGGTGTCAAAAGATCAGGCGTGAATCAAAGGTCAGGTATGTCACGTTTCTGGGCGGTGTTTCACGGGATGCTGCTACCACGCTGCTATCAAATTGCGCGAGCTGACGTCACACTTGTGGTAGTGTTGGAGCAATGGGCCTGTTGATGTTTCCATGGAAACCCAATTTGACACGTGTAAAAGCAGCGTGCTGCTATCACCTGTGAAACAGGGCCCTGCTCTATCTCCAGCGTGTTCGAAGCTATCGTCTGGCGGGGGCGGCAGAACCCCCCCCCCCCCCGCGGCGACGAGGGTTAAAGAAGGTACAATAAAGCGAAATCAGAGATGCGGAGCCGTGAAAATTTCAGACGGCTCCGGCTCCGGAGAAAAAAATCGGCTCCAGCTCCGGCTCCGGGTGAAATGTCATGGCGACCCCGGCTACGGCTACGGCTCCCGCTCCGACTCAGTACATCCCCTATGTGCAGTTATGCGGAGCCGTGAAAATTTCAGACAGCTCCGACTCCGACTCCGGCTTCGGAGGAAAAGATCGGCTCCGGCTCCCGGTGAAATGTTATGGCGGCTCCGGGCAAAATATGCCGGCTCCGGCTCCGCGACCCTGACCGAAATATTTAAAATTTGTCATACATCCTTTAACCGCAGCCTGCTGGGGATCCTGGATTTCCAAGCCTGGAGGGGGGGGGGGTGGAAGGGGCTGAAACCCCCTCTAACTCGGCTCCTGGTCCTGGGCCACGTAGCGATACGGGGTAGGCGGCCTGAGAAAGAACGTCAAAAATAATGACGAAATGACTTTGGCCACTGTTTGGGTTAAAATGTCAGGTCACCAGAGGTCATCAAAGGCCAAATTTTGCCAATTTTCAGGCCAAATGTCGGCAATTTCAACAAAACGGACCATGACAGAAAACCAAGCTACAACGCCTTGGAGAAGCACATTTGCTTTTTCAATGCTTTTTCTGAATACTTCCTTCAGATTTGACAAAGGTCAACGGTTTTGCCTGCAAGGGACAAAAACTGCCAAAATGGATGATTTTTTTTTAAGAAATAGCTTTTCTGCAATAGCGTTTCACTCAAGCATGACTGTGGCGTGGCGGCTCTAAATCCCAGTTACAATACAAGGTCAAACAGTGATTCGCAATTATGGCGGATTGAAACAGACACGCCAAAAAGTGTAAGCACCACCACGGTTTTAAAATGTCATTATCTTTACTATTTTGTATGTTTTTTTTCCAATTGTACCTAGCTAAATTAACATTTTTAAAATTGAATATATTTATTGTAATGAAACTAAATCTTATAATAATTTTCTTTCAAAATACTGATCCATTTATGGAATGGCCAGCTGATTGCAGACATGTGCATGGATCCGAGTAATGGATCTATGATCTCAGTGGATCTCGAGGCAAATTGAAGGTTCGGATCTATGATCCCACCGAATTCGGCGTGAAAAATTGTCCTGGATCTATGATCTCACAGGATCTGACAATAAACCAAAAGCATGCATCTATGGTCTGAGTGGATCCCACCATGAACAACATTTGAAACCAGGCTTCCAAGTGTTTCTCTGTCAATAAGTGCCATAAAACTATGGATTATGACGTGTTATCACATAAAAGCACTAAATAAGAACGTTTGTGAGTTATAACGAGTGATCTCTTGGGATTTCTGTGTTGACCAAAATAAATGAGGATCTGATCCCACTGGATCTCAATCAAAAATACTAGATTCTGTTCTATGATTCCTACGGATCTCTCGATAAATTAAAGAGCTGGATCTATGATCCAGTCTGCAAAACGTGGCAGCCAGCTCGACGAGGTGTTTGGGGCAGCCGGAATACTGCCCCAAATGGGGCAGTTGACTTCCGGGCAGCCCAATTTCTGCCCCAAATGGGGCATCTACTCGGGGCAGGTTAGATTATGCCCTAAATGAACTATGTATGGCATAAAAACCACACATATAAATACATTACCCGTGCAAATGCTGAAATCGGTCGCGGTATGATTCTTACTTCTTAGGTCTGGGGCGATTTGATTAAGGCTCGTGAAATTCACACACAAACCTTTCCTTGGTGGCTAATACGAAACACGGCGCGGAAAACATTCATAGCCCTGATAAAGGGAAATTTGAATATGGCAGCAGTTTTAAATGACAATTTCTGCGCTTTAGCGACGATTGTGGCGCAGCCCACTTTTTCTCGCGCGTTTCAACAATACTCCGCTTCTTTATTATTTTCTCCCGTACCGTGCGCCCCGCCCCCGGAATAGCCAAACTCTGCCCCAACTTCTCAAAAGCTGCCCCGATTTCTGCCTCTGCCCCACTGTGTCTGCCCCGACGAGATCTCGTTGAACCCTGCCACGTTTCGCAGACTGGTCTATGATCCCGACGGATCCGAGATCAGGATCTGTGGGATCAGATCCCAGATCCATTTTCTTGGATCCATGCACATGTCTGGCTGATTGTGATGCCCAGAACCTGCAGAAAGGCTGTTTTTCTATTGCCATTTTTGAGTGAATGTGTCAAATTTCAAATTGCTCTAATTTCTAGTGGAAAATGGAAGCCCTTTCACTCTGATACCTAAATGGACGCGATACCGCAGGTACCAGCACGTTATACCGTTTTTCATCTGTAGTAGAGGGCTGCATTTGTGCCCATATATCAGTTGGTGACATACCAGGGAAATAAGCTAAAATTAGAGCGCTCTATTTATTGCTCCTGCCCCATGTTGAAGAGATACCCCTAAAAGCGTGATCTTTTATCGGCCCTTACGCAGCAAGGCAGTAATTCTCAGACCGGTGGATGGTATCAATAGAAAGAGAATGCGTCAAAGATTAACATGAATTAATTAAAATAACATTAAAATGTTAATTAAGCGTGGAAATAAGTCCCAAACATAAGCTAATTATTGCTCCTACCTCGGCGACGGCGCTCCCCGCAGTCGGCGGAGAAGCTAAAATAAAAGCCACCATCCTCCTCCGTAAGTCAATTTTAGAGCGGCCGAGTGGGCCGATGCGGGGCCACCAAACTGAGGTGAGACGTGGCTAGTAATTGCAAACCGCCATAGAAATCAATATCTTAAGACGTACCATATGGGATGATTACTCTGAAGCTGGAGTGAAAGCATGAGTAGATTGCAAGAAACGAAATGCATAGATTGGTTGAATTATGTACAATAGGCACAGCTCAGATGAAGCCATTTCTATGATGTTGATATATGACATAACCCTTCCTCTCCTCACCTATGACCTAAGTGCATTGGCAGTTACCGGCAGTTTTTGAGCACGAGTGTAATTCGCCATCGGACCGCAATACATGTTGCCAGGCTGCTGCAATTACAACGAACATACGAATAATGCCTTCATTTGTAGGCGTTTGTTTTTTAGGCGGTCTTTGACGTGCAAGGGGGGCGGGGGCATACCTGTCGACAACTTGAGTTTCTCCGAATTTCAAAAACTCCCAGAATTTCAATTCCTTATGCACTGTTGTAGGTACAGCTATGTTCACAAGTTTTCGTTTCCTCCTGTTCTAAAAAGGATGATATTTGTCGATTTCGTGCGTCGCTGATAGGAGGGTGCGTTTAATAATTAGGCCCAACGCTTTCTGCATCCGCGAGTACCTTCAAAAGGGAACAACAGTTTCCATTTATTACACTATGGGACATGTGACAAAATGACCACTGGAACACGCATGAAACGGAGCTCATATTCCTAAAAATGTCTACAATCACTTCTTTTCTGACACTATTAGCAAATACCATCTCAAGTTAGGTGGTTGACAGACAGTTAATGCCTAATGGAGATCTGGGGAGACTGAGTGATGCCAATTCACCACTTAACTGATAATGAGGGCCGAGGGAAGAGAAACATGCAACATGCACAACTGACAACTTGACAAGTGACAAACACTACCACTATTGTGCAGTGCAGTGTGCACAACAAATTACAGCAGCCAGCCCAAAAATGCTTTTGGTGGCTAATTGCAAACAAGTCACTAAAAAATGTCTTAGTTGCAGCTGAACACTGCACAATAATCACACTGTTCACACATTGAGTGAGATGCCACAGGTGGTTTGAATCACACTTTGGTTCAACTGCAAATCTGAAGTGTTGTCATGAGGTTCATGCCTCCATGATCACAGCACTTTGGTTGTGGTTGGCATAACACTTGTAGTCTGCAGAGTTCCACATGAACTGCAGACACCTCATCTGGTGGTCTTCATGTTGCTCAACTTCTTCAGGAGGCAAATGTCGACCACCCAGCGGAAGCATGGCCCTGCAGAAAAGAAAGGTAATGCATAAGGTACAAACATTATCTGCTGAAACAGCTCCTTCTGTTGGCTGTTATTAAACTTTTAACATAGGTAACATAACAACATGTATTCCATGTATATTACATTTGTTGAAGTAAAATACTGCCGGCTATTTCAAAACCAGAAAATGAAATTATATTGTGGCATAATTCACCTGCTCAGCTATCAGTATCAAATAATAATTAATTTAATATTTGGCATATTCTATATAACACATTCATAGAATATTATGCTTCACGTTACAAGGACTCACAATCTTTCTGTTGGGTGTTTGATTGACGCATTAACTGAGTTTGTCTTAGGTTTTTATTGCAAAAAATTCATATTGCATTATTGTATCAAAATACTGCCAGCAATAACAAAACAAGAACATGAAATGCCAATGAGCAAGCCGCCATTCCTTAAAATGGATTACTTTGAAAGGAATTTTAGTTTCTTTTAAGGAAAAGGAGAAATGATTATCAGGTAATTATCAGAAAATCACTCAACCTGCAAGTGGCTGGGTGGTTTCACAGCAAACATCAAGCCAAAACATATACTTACATCTATCTAACAATTGAGCCATTTGACTACTACAAGGATATGTGAGCAAAATAAGAATCCAATTATCCAATGTTGACTTCCTTGCAAAGTTTATGCCTTATTTTATGAAAATGTGTCACTAGAATATGATACTTATCATCGAATATTATTTAATTTACGATTTATTTCGATCGGAATGCACATGGAGTCCCGCGCCATTTTCGTCGACGATGAATATGATCGTGTTTCATGAAGAGATAAGGGGTTTCAATGGTCTTTCAAAGCAATAATTTGATGCAAAAATGTGTAGGAAATAATATGAAGCTGGTTCAAATGGCCATCAACCATTTAAAACACCGAAAATACTCACAACTCCGTCCCGACGACCACGCAGCACCGCGAACGCCACACTACTGGCACAATGCCAAAACTGCTGTCACAGCGGAAATGTTTTTTTTCTCGATTGCAATTGTGGAATTATTAATTAAACAGAAGGTGATCTTTCCGAAAAACCGACTCATTTCATACACAGATGCATGGAAAATAAAAAAATCCCGGTAAGTTTATTTGTATTGTTTTGTCGATTTTGACATGCTCCTAGTTTGCAGCCATATTTCGATATGTTCTACAGGGAGTTCAGAATTATTTCAGGACCAATCTTTTCCTCATTCATTTTCCCGTCGATCATGAAATTTTTAGAGCGGAACAATTGGTTTCCAGGCGGTCCGAGCGATTTTCGTGAGAAGGGTGCAAAAATCGGCGTCATTTTTAGAGCCTCGACACCAGCTCAACACAGGACCCTATGGGAGACGGTGAAGTAGCGGGAGCAATAAATAGAGCACTCTAATTTTAGCTTATTTCCCTGGTGTGTCACCGACTGATATGGTCACCAAAAGTCTACTTATTGACCAATCAATTTTTGGATCTAAGCCTTGTAGTTTCCCTCGAGCTGCGCAACATATGTTATGAAAGTGACATCAAAATAACAAAACATGAAGAAATCGTGGTATATGGGAAAGTATTACGTAACTGAAAATGTCATCCAGCGCCATTTTCAGATTCCACCAAAATTCCAACTCTGCACTTGAGCCATCTTTACAATTATGTTTTCAAGACACATTTGGGCAGGGCTATTGAATATTTTGCATAAAAACACAGGAATAATAACACAGAAATCAAACGGAATACTTTTTAATTGATAAAAAATCAATAATGTTAGAACAATGCGAACAGCACGTGTTGCGCCGGGTTCGTCTCAACATCTCAAATAATCATGTACAGCTCAGTATTTGACGGAATATGGTGTAAACGTTATCCTTTGCATCAACAAGAATAGCATAGAAATAACTCACCAAAATAGGCCCGGGAAAATATATAAAGAAAAACGTCACTCCCCAGTCACTCCGACCGACGCCGCGCCAGAAGTGAGCCGGAAAGTCAAAATCCAATCCGAACAGCTGATGCCAGTGACGATTGTTTGAATACACCAATCACAAAATAGGTTACAAATGCTGATAGTGATGAATAAGTCAGAGAAGATAACTTGAAGAACTAAATGTAGGTCTTTTTTCAATTTTATGTCATCAAATATATTTTTTAAAACACCCGAAACAACAAAAAATTTTGTTTCAAAGAAAAATCACTTTTATTTTTGCAAGCAATAGTGACGATGTTTATGTAAAGAAAGCTGCCACTTTTCCCGGTGACTTGCACGGAATTGGTGGGAATTGGCATAATTTGCATATGACTTATTTCTGTGCATATCATCCAACGACATTGATAATTTATAAAACATAATTCCTTGATTAACGCGTCAACAGGTTTTCCAGGTCCTCGTCTTTCGTTTCCCACCCATTTTGGCTGGTTTCATGCATCCTGCCGTCCTCCGGAACGCTTAATTTGAGATCACTACAATGTGCCGGTTTTTTACTTTGACCTTGACCTCTGACCTTGATAACTGACCTGAGATAAAACAAAATTGGGTGCTTTAGAATCTTCCTGTGCAGATCTCTCGTCAGGTACCGTTTGTTTCCGTAGCTCCCTTATTTGCGGAGTTAGTAGGGGGGGGGACGGAAAACGGCCCCGGTTGCGGTGGTTGGGATTACCCCTCGGGTCCTCCTCAGATAAACTAGCGCAAGACTGAAATAAAGCTAAGTTTCAATTCGCGCCAACGTTGGCATTCTTCGTACTGAAGTTCGCATGCAGAGTTTTTGTAGTTTTAAAGCTATGCATGTTGTGTAAATATATCCTATAAGCACCTATATATCACCTGAAAAAAACTATGTGTGGATGCATACCTAATTTTCGAAGCTAGTACGTACTCCGTATATTCATTTCGTATTTCCATACTGCCACGATTCAATCATTGCGTGCTTACATACATCGTTGCACACGGACAAAGGTAGGTGATCTGTGCATCTACATATGTACTGCTTGTATTATGGCCCAGTCTAATGGTGCCAATCGGAGCTTGGACATTCGAAATTACAATCTTGTCCAATATCCAGTCCGGAATTTTGTTGGACAAAAGCAGCATGTTTGGACAACATTGTACACCTCAGCATTCCTACACCTCATCATTTTTAGTAATCGTGTAAGTATCTACCATTTTCACCCGGTTTAATCACCCGGTACATTTAGCATTGATTGGCGAATGGAAAGCTCAACTCTCGATATGATGAACAAAATTGGGCTGATAATAGTACATTCATGCATATTAAATAACAATGTTGAGTGTAAATTATTGCGTTGTTTGCGGACGTCTTTAGGCAAATGGCTGGCTTGGACATCGTAGGACGGGCAGTCGACGAAAACATCGGACACTGGACATACATTTTCCGAAACTTTCACCACTAGTTCAGTCCACCGGCTACCGCCGCGCTCCGCTGGCCGAGGTCCTCGCGGTGTGGGTGTAGGTAGACACCAGCGACCGCTGCCTCTCAGCCTGACGGTGGCCGGTGACGGTGGTCGGCCGGGGCACGGTGAGACGGGTGGGGCCGGGGCCCGGCGGCGGCGGTCCGGCCAGCCTTCCCGTCCGCTCGGCGCCGGCAGGCAGCCGCAGACTGTGCACCGTCAGACACAGCCGCGCCAGCTCCTCATCGGGAGCAGTCGGACCCTCGCCGGGAGCCGCCGACAGCCCCCAGCCGGCGAACTTGTCCCGGTGGCGGCGCTGGCGGCCGCTGCCGCACCTCTCAGTGGTATTGGGGCCGCTAGCAGCGGGGACGCGATCGGCACTGCTCACGGGTGACCGGCTGCCGCTCGGACCGTTACACCAGGGCGAGGGTTTCGTATGCTGGTGCCGAGCCCGTGACACATTTTTCGTGATCGAGGCGTCCGTCGTATACCGCCGACTTTACCCGGCCCTGTTCTGAATCTGATGAACCAGCGGGGGTTACAAGTCCCACTGGTGTTGGCTGCACCAGAGAGCTGCCTGGCTGATTTTCAAACGGGTGCTTATCGTGCTCCTGACACTGAATGTTGAAATTAACCCGTCTGTGATCACTGCGCGTTTCAGCTGGCTTAGCAGCACATCCAGGAAGGTGTTCAAATGAACACAGTCTGTAGCCGTGCGATTTTAGGGCCAGAAATTGTATCCGAGTCCTGTTTGGATTTTTGATGCCTGTCGCT